GGTGCGGCAGAAATAACTCCCACATTTCAAAGGGGGATTGAAAAAAAAAGTTTGAAATGGTTGAAATACTCGATGCTCACTCGATGTATATTTTTTTCTACGGTGCAATACTAAATTTTATAAAAAAAAACCCTCGATTTGTAGAAGAATTTCAAAAAGGAGTATTCATAAAAATAAGATTTTTTTTTTCTTACCAGAAACAATATCTTCGCTTCGATTGCTTAGAAGATGAGCAGCGGCAAGTAGAATTTTATGAAAATTTCAATATTTTTCCCACAATTGGTATAAATTGCTTCAATATCATTAAAAAAATGTATAAGAAAAATTTAAACGTTTAAAGGTTATAATTGACGTAAGATATTTGACGTTTCTCTCAGTCCATAGGCGTCGACGAAAATTTTTTTGGGGGCAGGCAACCCGAAAAGCGCCGTCCTTAACGTGTTAATAAGCACTTGAATCAAACGAAGAATGTTTCAGTTTTTATTACCATATTTAATTTAAATACTACCATTTATAGTTTTCGAGAAATCCATAATTTCCTACATACTAATTTGATTTTTCTGATACAAAATGGTAACCGTTTAAAATTTTAATTTACTTACTTCACCAAAACCACTTAGATGGCGCTTTGACATACTGTCATATTATGGTATCTAAACTATATTTGACAGGTTGTTTGGCAAAGGCTACTATGATATTGTTTAATTGCATTTTTGTGTTTGAGATGTTGGGAATAGGATCTAATGTTGTTGTTGTTTTTTTGTCTGTTTGCAGAATCCATTTGGAGGACGGATTTGGATTTCATGGTGGTGCATAGGGACAGGTTGGTGGTGTTGAGTTTCATGACGGCGACGAATAACAGTTTGAATCACAGGCAGCAGACGACGCTGCCGGCGCTCCTGACGCCCGAAGAGGTCGTTGGAAACTCGAGCCTCCTTCCTGACGGCACCAGACCGACGGCGATGGCCTTCACGCATACGGTCGTCAAGACCTTAAGGGAATACATCGGTCACGAGCAGCACGACAACCTTCAAACGAACATAGGTAGTCCCAATACTCCAAAATTAATTTACCAATTAATTCTTTGATAAATATCGAAACAGAAACGGGATGGGGCAGCACCGTCAGCGTGGAATTCCTGAATTTCGCCTTCTCGCTGCTCGTCTACGCCGTCCGTTATCCTGCCATCTTCTGGGCGACGAACAAGTGTCTGGGTCTGGTCTTCTCCGTTCAGCTATTGATGAACGGCATGCAGATTCTGCTCGCCTACGCCGGGATGTCCGTCCTTTACAAGGTACACACGAGACAATGTGAATAAGTAATCGGCTTAAAAGGGAAGATGCTCATTGCGGTCGGAGGGTTGTTGCAGGTGCAAATATTTGGGGCCTGGAAGGCGCTGCCGCTGCTCAAGCATCAGCCGGGCGGACTCTCACCTCTCGGGGGAATCACACCCTTCCTGCTCAATCCCCAAGTAACGTTGGCCCTTTACATCTTGTCGCTGCTCCTGATCTTCTCCTCCAGTCTAGTGCTATACCTTTACGGTCACACCAGGTAAGAAATAATAGAAACGTAACATATTTTATACTAAAATGTTACATTTTTAACTTATTAGATTCCTTTCGTTCGTTAATCAAGAGCGCGAACGAAAAGTGATTATGCTGCGTGAGGGCGCCCACTCGAGGATGGGTTATTTCACTCACTGCGCCGCTCTCTGCGTTTTGATCTCCGTCTGCTTATGTAACGGTCCACTCTTCCACGACTATACCATCGTCTACAAGGGTAGTCTTGATGGAGCCATCCTGGCAACCATTATAGGTAGCATCCTCCATCTTTTCCTGTGGGTCGTAGTCTGGTTGTTCCTCACCATCAAGCAGAAATGGACCTTCAAGTTACGCGTAACGGTACCTACTAATCCAATCTAAACTTATAACAGAAATGATTACATTATCATCTTATTAGGTTGGAAGAGCTACCGTCAGACAGGCTAGATCATTGCGACTAGTCACCGACGTTGATCTAATGTCCAATAACTCCGAAGACCCAAGCACTCAACCTCTTCTGGTGGTCGGTAACGGACGCACCTATACCATAACAGAGGTGTCTCCGAAGAAGGCCATCATGGGCGTCATCCAGAAGGCTTCGATGATCAAAAAGGTGAAGGCTGAGAACAGCGGATCCACAGCCGACGAGACTGACGAGGAGCAGATCTACTGGCTGAGACCGGCCCTGGTTACGCCGCACGCCTCCCCCGACGGCACCAAACAGCTCTGCTGGTTCAACAAGAAACCGAAGCACAAGGTCACCTTTAACGAATCCTCCAGTACGTCTATTGCGCGGTAACTATTAGGTTCTTCTTCTTCTTATATCGCTTCTTCTTTTTTCATTTTATTTAACATTTAATTTCGCAGCTAAAAATCACTTTCATTAACTTTTATCTAACGTTCACAGATTAACCAATTACTTGATCAACATTTATATTGTATATAATACCAATTTATCTTTCGTTAACTTATCATGTTTTTCTTAGTAACAAATTTGTCGAGCTGTGTTACATTATATTCTTCGTTTTATTTGCTGCATCCTGGTGATTCGGCCACTGTTTGTTTTATGTATGTTTTCCTTTCTTTGTTTCCGTTAAAAGTAATAAAAGTAATGGGAGCAGAAGACGGCTGCCGGGAATGGAGATCGATGATGGGGACTACGCCACATTAAGGGAGCTACCGTTGAAGCCCGGAGAATCCATGGATAACGATAACATCAGCGAGGAAGGAAAGGTAAAATGAGGTCTTAATTACACCCAAAACATTGTCTCGAACACTATAAAACTAACAAGAATCATCACCTCACCGTATTCTATTACATTCCTGTTTCTTCTGCGTGCTTGTGAGCATACTTGTGAGCGTGTGTGTCCGCATTTTGTGGTTGCTGTCTTTCGTTTTCTTTGGAGGCTTCGATCTATCCTACGAAACATTATACTTAACAAACACGAAACACTTATCTACATTAGATGTGTTTTATTTTATTTATATAAATGTTATAGTGGCAAAATTGTTGTAATTATAACTAATTATAACAATTTGCAGTATAACATATTATATAATTATATTCTAATCGCTTTAATTAACAATCATCGTGCTTCAGCTTCTGGCTTGCGTACATGACGAGCACGTGACATATGCTAGTACTAGTCGAGATTTAGTCCCGCCGGTAGATTACGAGGATCCGAGCCCGCTGCTAACGCCAGAACCCTTGGACAAGATCGACCATCAGCAGACGCCGATCTCTGTGATCGTTCACAATCAGACGCAGGTCGGTTGGTTTTCTTCCTGGTGTGTTTAGATAGATACCATCACTGTTCTCACTTAACTAACTAACCAATATTTCTTCATCGGGTATTTACAGATCATCCAATAAAGAAGCTACAATTTTATTGCAAATTTCATGTTTATTGGATGCTCTGTAATGTTTGCAAGATTCTTCAATGGATGCGGTTGTTGTCATGCGTTGATGTTTCAGGGTTCTTCGAGCGGTCTGACTCCGCGCTGCCTGAGGCGAGCGGATTCAGGGATGCCGCACGAGGAGTTGACGCCTCGTTCGGACTCGATAAGTACGGAAAGCTCATCGCCGCCGGATCCGCCCGGTAGTAACCACAGTGAGACATCGAGTGGGATACATTCTAATGAAAGTTCTGATCATCAGCAGTTCGGTCCGGCGACGACGCCGCCACCGTCGTCGTCGTCGGTGTCGACGAGGCGTGCCACAAGCGTGGCCGACTTGCAGCAGCCCGCCAAAGAGGAGATTCAATGGAAATCTTGCTCATTGCAGAGAAACATGCAACCGCCTCCGACTAGCGCAGCTAGTTTCGCCCAGTACATGGCCGCCTCCGCCGCCGCCGCCGCCACGGCAGCCTCCAGCCCGAGCTCGAACTGCTCCTCCTCGCTCTACGGCTACACTACCTCTGCCGCTACCGCTTCGAGCTGCAACAACTATGTGAACGCCTCCGATCTGGATCGTAACGTGATCCTGGAGAATCCCAACGACGAGACCGTCGTGATCAGACGCAAGGCCGTCCGACCCAAGACCACCGTCGAACATCACAACCATCACCTGCCCATACACCAGGTGATTATCAAAGAGGAACCCTTCGGACGCGCCACCAACATGCGCATGACCTCGTTCACGGACGACCTTCGCGGATCTCAAGCCTCTTCGGCGACGCTCCCGCATTATCCTACGCAGCCGGTGCCAAGCACGAACGGCTTCCCGCACTGCTCGACGATGCCTCTGCCACAGCACACTTCGTCCAGCATTCCAGCAGGTCACGGTCTCGGCGGTGGCAACAGCTGCAACGTCTATCCTCGGCAACACACCACCATACCCACCCATCACAACGGAGTCCGACTCTTCGGCGGATCGCAGAACCCCTACCTGAAGCGTCTGCAATGCCAGAACGGCGTTGCGAATCGCTACAACAGCCTCAACGAGCCCATCTACACCGGAGTCAACAAACTCACCGGAGAGATCTACCACTACAACTCGTAAACACCCACCACCACAACCACTGGATGATCATCGATTTGCATAGGCACAATTCAGTTATGTTCCCCCGAAATTTGTATATTTTTTCCTGTATAGTCTCTTTACATATACATATTATATATATACATTTTACTATAATTTATAAACGACGACTTTTTGCGGAGGATATTTTTGTACATACATAGGCGAACGTTAGGGAAACCGGTTGTAGTAGATCAATCAAAGAGCGGAACGGATCAAGTAACAAATACTGACACAAAGAGCGAGCGAGCGACAGAGTTAGAAAGTAGTAGCCATGTCAAACTGAATCCGGAATTACATACACTAAACATCTACAAATATTTGCAAAAATACATCAATAATTAAACAATACAAGAACATCAACTTTCTTCATGTTATCATACTCATCATCTTTACGAAATCATAAAGACAAAAATTAAAGAACGTTTGTAGACGGTTTAAGTTGTATGCAAATTCCGGTTTTCGATGTAGGGATTTAGGCAAAATATGTAATCGATAATAATATGTTTTAATTTATGTAATTCGACGGTTTGGCATGCGCGAGTTGGAGTAAAACCACACCAAAAATAATTATATATCTTCGAAAACAAACAAAATTTTGGCCGATCTATAATTTCATCTAGCTTCTAGACGTGCAAAACCATTTCAATTTTTCCCGTATTTATAAAAAAAAATACTAATATTTATTTCGTAAATTATTAACACGACATTATGTTTTTAGTTTAGATTTTCTAAAACAGAAGCCAAAGATTTAGTTTTTAAAACATTCCAAGAATTTATATATTTTTTTTCTCTCTCTCGAATCGAAGACTTGAGTCCAATTCATCAACTCAAAAACATTGTCATCAATCAACAAATATGTTTAGACAAATTTAAGCTCAACTGTAGCATTAATTTTGTTAGGGTATAATTGGACCAAAAAAAAACAATAATTTGATACGTATTTTCTTGAAAATTATACAAAAAAAATTAATGAAAGTCATATCAAAACTTTTGATTCTTTGATAATAGATAGATCTTCAATTTTTTGAAACGTTTCTGTTTCAAATCAAATATTTCTTAAGAATCGATCGAAAATATTCTCTTTGAGTACAAATACAAGGAAACAAAAATTTAGTCTACTAAAAAAAATTAGACCAAATTTTGTTTGTTTTTTTTTTTTAAATAAAAAAATTAATAAAGAACAAAACAATATCTGCCAATTAAGACTGTTTATATTTGTGCAATTTCTCTTGCAACAATTTTATATTACATATTTAACTTGTCACCTGTAGCAATTTTTGACGCAAGTAAAAAAAACTAAAAAACTTTAATTTAAGCACTGACAGATTTAGGTTAAAATCTGTCAAACAGTTGTTGAAATGGATTTGGTCTTCGATTTGGAGGATCGAGAAAGTCTTTTCACTTGAGTTGACGTTTTCTAAGTGTATCGCAACTTCATCATATCATGAAAAATCGACATCATCATGTAAAAAAAATAAAATAAACGAAAACTACATTTTAACGGAACAAAAAGTACATGGTATAACGGAAACAATAATAACGATATCAACTATATAGTATTTACGTAGGCGTAGCTTTTTTACAGCGGACAGAAACCAAGAGAAACTTTATCGGTAATTTACTATACAAAAAAAAGGAATAGATGGAGGAAGGAAGGAAAGAACGTAGATTTTGTATCTCTAGAGAAACGTGTAGACAACAAAAACACACCCCCTAGCACCGACCTTAGCAACAACAACACTCTAGCAACAATTGTTTTCGTTTCGATTTTTGATCTTTGTTCACATGGTAACGATTCTGTATATAATTTAAGTTTTAAGTAAGTTATACTTCCGATGGTGCAAATATTAAGTTGTTAGGTCTCTATTATTACGTAAGTGTACTAAATAGGAAAAATAAAAGAAGATCAGAAAAGATCAGAGCATGTCCGGATCGCGTATATAAATATATAAACAAAAATGAAAATAATCGCGTTCTCTCAGTAATTTTTCGATCATTGACAAGAAAAAAGTAAATAAAACAAATTATACTAATAACGAGCTTACAGTTAATAATACAGTAGCTTCTTTCCAAATATCTCTTCGCGATGTCTCCGATATTATATAAACATGTGGATGGATGCATTCGCGGAGACGATAATATCATTTACTCAGTCAATGTCTACAATACTAAACATATTGATCTCTACTTACTAAATACTAATACTAATTGTAATTGATATTAATAAATTATTGAATATTTATGAAGAAAAAAAAATAATACAAATATATTAACTAAATATATTATTATAACAGACAAAAAAAAAATTATACGACTATATGAAATATACAACACAGCAATTACTATATATGCGAGGATTGTTTAAGGAAAATTAAAAAAAAAATTATTAAAATAAAACTTATAAGCAGGTTTGCTCTAAGGAATATGTTATTATGTGTATGCATCTGCGGATATCCCTGAATGTGTTTCTTCTGTTTTTTGATAGGTTCCTTCTATTTTACACGGACTCGAGTTCGGCGATTTCGCCTCCCAAACTTTTTTTATACATATTTTATATTTATATTCAGTTCAATGTTAAAACAATAAATTGATATAAAAATAACACATTTGTCCTTATTCCATCGACCTCTCAAAAAAAAACAACATCCCTTTAAATCCAATTTCATTATTTGAAACTAAATCTGAACTAAAGACAATTCGAAGATCGAAAAAGCAGTGTTTTTACATCACATTTTAGTGATTTGGAGAATGTGGCAAGTATTCATGCATTGCTGTGTAAGATCAAAGTAGGTCTGTGGTATGAAAAAACAAAATCG